TTAGCTGATTGGTTGGTTGTGTTCTCTAGGGTCTTGTGGTTATTTGGGAGTGGGTTGTATCCATTGCAGTCTCTGCTCCTGTGCAATTTTCTTGTTGTGTTATTTTATCTTCCCTTTCTTTGCTGGTGATTCCTAGACTGTTTTTGGTTATTATTTTGAAAATGTCTGCTGATGGGGCATTGTGTGGGAAGTTTACCTGTGGTAGGTTGTTCGCTGCCAACATTTCTCTGATAGTTTTTCCGAATGTTCCCGTGTTAGCCACGTTGATTATGTGGGCATGTATCGGTGTGGCTAGTGTGGTGAAGGGTAGACCCTCGTTAAAACGGACCCCTTTAATCCCGATATCGGACGAAATCTGAATTAAGCGAGGGACTGTCCGTGTCAAATTTCTGGTTCTGGGATTGTCCGATAGATGGCGCGTGCGTGCCATCTGTAGTGTCTTGCAACTTTGTTATTGCAGCATAGGTTTTGGTTGGGTAAGTTTCTATATGTTTGTTCGATTTTTCCTTTTCATTCATGTCTTTGATGATATCCTTCCTTACTGGGCATCGTGCTGCCAAAGTGCGGTGATGTCCTTTGCAGTTCGGGCATTTTCAATTTTCATTACGTGTGTCTTTAACTTCCATATTTTCATACGTGGTACAGTTTTGTATCAACTGTGGTCAGGTCTTCTTCATGAGAGTGCTCTTTGTACAGCACAGCTTAAGCATTCATTAGTTATTTTTGACAGATAACTAGTTATAAAGGATAGATCCTGAAATCCTGTTTGATAATAGAGCCTAAAAAGAATTAATGAGATCCCATCCTCCTCCTTTGATGTCATCATAAGAGGTCAGTGGATTATGTGGGGTTGATTCTTCTTCCCGCTCAGTGATAAAGTCTGACAAGTAAATAATTGGTAACTCATGTGCTGTGAAAACTTGAGAGTGATTTCCATACCTTCCAAGCCACCATGGACAACCTTGCTTTGTCAAACATCTGATCATGGGACATGGTTAGGGGGAAGTTGGCTGATGGTCAGTTTAGCCCTAATCACTCTAGTTTAGAGCTTCCAAGGGTTCCAAGCCCTCAAAGTTTGATGGACACATTTACAACTTAATCTTTATGATGTTATTAAAAGACATTATGCAGCTTAGAGAGCTGCCATCAGGTAATCATGGCTATGCACACAACTGTGGGAAATGGACATGAAATGTTGGAGATGATTATGATGATATCAGCCTTTTCCTGCTATGGGTGGAGAGCAACTGAAACAAGTTGTCGTCACTCCTTCTATTTTATAGTTAAGATTTCAATTGTGTTTAATTACCTGTTTCTGAAAGAGACTTTCTTGTTGCAGGTGACCTTCCTGGAAATTACCGAGACTTAGTGTGCTTTGAAAAAATCCTCTGGAGAGTGGGTCCAGGACTTACACCTGCAAACTTCCTGTTTCTTGGGTTGAGGTGAGTGTTCTTCTTCACTGACAACATGTTTGTTTATTTCTGTGAATTAATATGTAGTAATATCGAGATAATATGCATGTTATAATAAAATTTTGGATAAAATTAGAGCAATACAGTCATGGGGCGGGGCATCTTTTCTCAGCTGAGAAAAAAATGAAGTACAGATGCTCCTCTACTTGCGAAAGAGTTACGTTCTTGAGGCTTGTTTGTAAGTCCAACTTTACTCCTGTAGATACCAAACTTATTGTAAAAACTGAAAAGATGATGGATATTTAGCCCAGCTATACCCTTTAATACAGCCTTAAAACCTGGCTCACTCTTCTCTTAGGTAATGTTTGTTTTATCTGGAATTTTCTTGAACGTTCTTAAGTAGAGGAGCACCTTTATAGTGGTGTTTCCTTATTATTTCACACTATTATACTTAGCAATATTATAAATCTCTGGCTAATAATAGGGACGGAAAGATAAATACTGATAGGCAAATGAGTTTTTTATTATTATTTTATTTTGGGGGGTTTATGAGGGGGGTGTAAGATGAGTGCTGTTTTTGGTGATCATTAACTTGTTTTACAGTATTAGTCCACAATAATAAGAAAATTTGGGAGAAAAAATTCGGTTATTGTTGGGGTTGAGGCAACTAGATATGTCTGATTACAGCAAATGTGTTATTGTCAATTTGTAGGTGAAAGATTTTATCCTCAATAGATGTAGGTTAACATTACACCTGGAGGCAAATGCCTAAAGAAGGAAGGATATTCCTTTTAGTTGTGTGAACAAATATTAAACAAAGTATATTATCATAAGTTTTCTTTTACAGAAAAGATGTATACTACTCCCACGAGGAAAGAACGGCTATCTTTGATTATATCGTCAAAACGAAGCGGTTCGGAGAGGTTAAAGGCACAGTGTTTGGCAGGATATGGCCGAGGCCCAGGTAATACTACACCTCTTACTGCAGTACCTGTTCCTGTTATAGCACATGAACCATCATGTTTATTAATACTCTACTTGTTTTATGCATGCATACATACAGTCAGCCCTAAACATACACGGGGGTTAGGTAAGAGAGATACCCATGAATGTTAAAAATCCGTGTACTTTTGCCTCCCCCCCCCCTAAAAAACCCCTGGCCCCCCCATGTCCTTATTTACCATGTATACCTGTGTGTAGTTCGAGTTTTTAAGACCAAATTATTTGGCAAAAAATTAGGGGTTGACCTCTAAACGGCTAATAGTTTCGTTAGGTTGAAAAATATTTACCAGGAACTACCAGTAAACAATGGAAACGACGCACCACCGGCTGTGAGTGTCGGTACAGCTGCCAGGGCAGATCTCTTGCATCATAATAGCAAGCCCAAAGTAACCAAATGCATGGTATGGTATACACAGTATACTGCTAGATCTGGGGGTCACTAAATCTAAGGGGATAATTTAACTCTAATCTTAATGTCTAAGGGTCGCTGCCACCAGACCCCCTCTGGACAGCATGTAGCTCGTTAGGTAGCAGGCAGAGTGGACTAGGCATTGGGTTAGGTTTTCCATTGACCAGATCGATGAGGGTAAAGAAGGGGGAAACCATAACATGTCTTAATTGATTTATTCCTTCTAAAACATACTGGTAAAAACAACATACATGAATTGGCCTTCCTCAGAAGAACAACGGAATTTTGGTTACCCAGCTGGGCCCCAGACTCCTACATTACTGGCGGGTCATCCACCCACTTATTGCATAACAATCGGTGAACGCCGTATCTCGGTCGTTCCTTCTTACAATATCCCTTAACACATCAGACTGTTCCACTGGTGTGGATTTTAGCACCGTCGGTTATCATACATAGTAGCACCATCTCAACACACCTGTTACACTCCATACCTGCAAGTATGTGACTCCTTGTGACTTTTAGGTATACACAACGGGCACCTCGTTCGCACACCGCCCTCGGTGGGTAAAGACGAGGGCTTCACCTAGAGACATACCAGCACTATTTCTACGCCTGGTATTATAGGTCGCTCCAAGTGACGACCGCAGTTTCTCACGGTCTCCTTAGTTGTGACTATTCATGTGGAGTGGTGTGCTGGGAATCCACCGGTTCATAGTGGACTGGTATAGTGGGGAGTCATTCCCCACCTGGTGTGGCGCTCAAGGAGACAATGGCAGCCGGGCGGCAAGATACCCCAACCACGTGGCACCTGTGGTGACGGCAGAACGGGAAAGACTAAGCAATAATGCCTGACGGGCGGTTATCCCACCCCTTAACACATCCCTATCACACTTATATATCCGGCAAAGCTTTAAACTGTAGTAACTGCTATTTATCAACCTTACTTGTAGGGCGGGATATAGCCCGCTAGGACACTGACCTGTGGTGACGGCAGAACGGGAAAGACTAAGGCCTGCTTCCCGCCGCTTCTCGTCACATAGGCCTACAGTTTCCAATCCTCAATTTACACTTTTGTTTCTTATGGTTCTCACCTGAACACTTCACGGTATCTTGTCACTCATTTCTTATAAACACATATATTAATCCTAAATTACACACTAAGGTCAGGTCTTGGTTTGCTAGTGCTTGGTTAAATGCCTGGGATTTTAATATCAACGGGCATCTGAGGCGGGTACATGGCGCGCCTTGAAACCAAAGCCGAATGATCATGGCGGGGGTGTATCAACTTCACTTAAAAACTGTAATGAGGGATCCTCCTCTCACACATTGCACTATTTGAACACAGACATAAGATTCTCTGATCACTGTACCTGTCGTGGGTATATGTCACGTGAGGCTACGAGGTGTATTAAATTCATACCGACGCATACACGATATTTCCTTTCCAGTATAGTTTCTAGATCACTGTCAACACCTCACATAGTTCTGATACATTTATCCTTTTTCCAGATCATTGTTCTCATGTATTTTCATATGATATCTGTTGGAGTTATGTTCGCTCCACGCTCACAGACGTAAATAGTAGGACCTTCAAACCCTGATCCACACTTAGTCTTACAGTACCCTAGTCCGGCTCAACTGGACTTTAACATTCATCTTATGCCTACCCTGAGTGATCCTTAATGCTATGAATACATACACGTGATATGATATAACTATACCTGGGTACAATACAACACAGGGTCTAGGAACCTTGAGTAGGTGAGTTGTCCTTTCTCAATGTTTCCCGTTTTCTGGGGTTCTACAAGCGCTGTGCATTTGAATGTTATGTAGCGTAATATGAATTAGATGGGATTTTTAGGGATGACAATGATGTGCGCAGTACAACAGGACGATGTAAAACAAAGTATTCATTTTTTAAAGTTTATTTATAGATACTGTACATAAATTTTTGTTCATTACATTTGAAACATCAATCTTTGTGAATTAAATTTGAAACAAAAGAAAACTACTATACCATATTCTCATTAAAATATTACATCACAAGTATATTTTACCTTAACTGTGACTGAATGAATATATTCTCAGAAATAAATATGAAAATGTAATATTTTGGCTGAAATGACGTACATATTACAGTGGAAAGTGGGATAAAATCATGACGAAAACAATGACTTTCGCTTTCTCTCGTTGTTCGAAAGATTTTACCGTAATCGCATTTCGAATGGTTTTGAGTTAAAAAACTGTTGTACCGTACCGTATTACAATAATATTCTATCCTATCATTAGCCTCATAATCCCACAACTGAAAACCATTCAAAAAGTGATTACGGTAACGTGTTTTGAACGAAAGAAAGCGAAAGTCATTGTTTTCGTCACAATTTTATCCCACTTTCCACTGTAATATGTACGTCATTTCAGCCAAAATATTACATTTCCGTATTCTCAGAAATAAATAGTAGTTTTGTTGAAACGTAATGTACGGTATTTAATATTAAAATGCAAAAAGAGCTATAAAATCAATTAATACTGTACATCCGTAATGTACTGGCTGGCATCCCCACTCGTCCCTGCTGCCGCCAGTCACCGCACCTCCCCGCTCTATGCCTCCGCCTCCTCCACGTCGTCACTACTGTTGTATTACAATAATATTCTATCCTAATTCACTTAAATAAGTACTACGATACCATATTTCTGAATATTTTCATTAAAATCCATCAAAATCTATTTCATTGTCATCGTCTTAAGCACCAAAGAGCTCCTCCCAGTCTTCTCCTTGAACAGGGCTAGAGGGTACGTGTTTTTCGAATCGTTTTCAGTTAAAAAACTATTACATGTATTATATCAAGCACAGTATGAATAGAATATCATTGTAATATAACAGAATTTCATCCGAAAACTATTAAAAAAACGAGTAACATCTTAAGAACATCGGAAGCTTAGGTAAAGTCTTTTGTTTTCGTCATGTATTTTTATCCTAATTTACATTGAAATACATCACGTTTCAGCAACACTATTTATTTCCAAGAATATATTCATTCGGGCGCAGTTTAAGTAAAATATACGTGTGATGTAATAGTTTTTTAACTGAAAACGATTCGAAAAACACGTACCCTCTAGCCCCGTTCAAGGAGAGGACTGGGAGAAGCTGTTTGGTGCTGCAGACGATGACAAGGAAAATGATTTTGATGGATTTTAATGAAAATATTCAGAAATATGGTATCGTAGTATTTATTCAAGTCAATTAGGATAGAATATTATTGTAATACAACAGTTTTTTAACTGAAAACCATTCGAAAAGGGATTACGGTAACATCTTTTGAACGAAAGAAAGATTAAGTCATTGTTTTCGTCACGATTTTATCCAACTTTCCACTGTGATACGTACGCCATTTCAGCAAAAATATTACATTTCCGTGAATGCATTATATCAAGCACAGTATGAATAGAATACCGGTGTAACATAACATTATTTTGAGTCTTACTCTTTCCATTTACAGAGTACTGTACAAGCCCATGATAATGGCTCCTATAGGTGATAAACTTCGTTGTGTGAAGAGAAAGAATAACTCGTTGAAATTGAGTGACAAACTTGAAATAATTAAGAAACTAGAATGTGGTGTGAGCAATACTGTTCTAATGGAAACATACGACATTGGAAAACAAACAACTGCTGTACTGAATAACTATTAATTTATGGACATATTTTTATCATAAACTGTTGTGTATATTAACTGTTTTTGTTTGTTTGTTCCAGATGTGTTAACGACTAAACCCTTGAGAAATTAACAACTGGATCATGGAGACTCTGCTGCTACAAGTATGTCTTTATGTCTGTCTAACTGTCTATCTTTATCTATCTGTGCTTCTATATCTTTCTATCAGTCTTTCAATACCTGTATGTCTGTCTGTTTGGTATCTATATCATCTATCAGACTGTCTTTATATATACAAGCATCTGTCTTATCTATATCTATGCTATCAGTAAGAAAGATATTGACATTGAGTGAGGAAGGTGGATACACAAGAGGTACAGTGAATGATGGTGGGTACACAAGTGGTACAGTGAGTGAGGAAGGTGGGTACACAAGAGGTACAGTGAATGAGGATGGTGGGTACACAAGAGGTACAGTGAGTGAGGAAGGTGGGTACACAAGATGTACAGTGGAGTGGATGGCAGACTGCAGGATGTTGCTGACTGTAAGTGTTATGTATGTGCAGGTAAATATGTGTCCATGACAAGACTGAAGAAACTCAACACTGAAGATTATCCGTGGACTGTGTGGATGAGTTCTGCTGCCTGGGTGACATGATCAGTGCTGGAGGGGGTGCTGAAGGCTGCTGTGTTGTGAGTCATGGAATGGGTTCTGCTGCCTGGGTGACATGATCAGTGCTGGAGGGGGTGCTGAAGGCTGCTGTGTTGTGAGTCATGGAATGGGTTCTGCTGCCTGGGTGACATGATCAGTGCTGGAGGGGGTGCTGAAGGCTGCTGTGTTGTGAGTCATGGAATGGGTTCTGCTGCCTGGGTGACATGATCAGTGCTGAGGGGGTGCTGAAGGCTGCTGTGTTGTGAGTCATGGAATGGGTTCTGCTGCCTGGGTGACATGATCAGTGCTGGAGGGGTGCTGAAGGCTGCTGTGTTGTGAGTCATGGAATGGGTTCTGCTGCCTGGGTGACATAATCAGTGCTGGATGGGGTGCTGAAGGTTGCTGTGTTATGAGTCATGGATGAGTTCTGCTGCCTGGGTGACATGATCAGTGCTGGAGGGGGTGCTGAAGGTTGCTGTGTTATGAGTCATGGATGAGTTCTGCTGCCTGGGTGACATGATCAGTGCTGGGGGTGCTGAAGGTTGCTGTGTTGTGAGTCGCGGAATGGGTTCTGCTGCCCCCGTGACATGATCAGTGCTGGAGGGGTGCTGAAGGCTGCTGTGTGAGTCATGGATGGGTTCTGCTGCCTGGGTGACATGATCAGTGCTGGAGGGGGTGCTGAAGGTTGCTGTTATGACGGATGAGTTCTGTTGCCTGGGTGCCCTTATCGGCTGAGGGGTGCTGAAGGTTGCTGTTGTGAGTCATGGATGAGTTATGTTGCCTGGGTTACATGATCAGTGCTGGAAGGGGTGCTGAAGGCTGCTGTGTTGTGAGTCATGGATGATGGATGAATTCTGCTGACTGGGTGACATGATCAGTGCTGGAGGGGGTGCTGAAAGGCTGCTGTGTTGTGAGTCATGGATAAGTTCTGCTGCCTGGGTGACATGATCAGTGCTGGAGAGGGTGCTGAAGGCTGCTGTGTTGTGAGTCATGGATGAGTTCTGCTGCCTGGGTGACATGATCAGTGCTGGAAAGGGTTCTGAAGGCTACTGTGTTGTGAGTCATGGATGACAGATGAGTTCTGCTGCCTGGTGACATGATCAGTGCTGGAGAGGGTGCTGAAGGCTGCTGTGTTGTGAGTCATGGATGATAGATGAGTTCTGCTGCCTGGGTGACATGATCAGTGCTGCAGAGGGTACTGAAGGCTGCTGTGTTGTGAGTCATGGATGAGTTCTGCTGCCTGGGTGACATGACATATGCAGTCTTGAGTGAGCGGAAATGAGAATGGTGAGGTGGATGTGTACTGTGACGCTGAAAGATGAGAATCACCGTTCAGAGCTAAGAGGACGGCTGGGTATTGAGAGTATCGGCCAAGATTTACATATAAGTAGACCGAGATCGGGAGTGTGGGGAGAATGGATGAGACCAGCTGGGTTAAGTGGTGTATGACTCTAAATGTAGTGAGGAGGAGAGATTGTAAGAAATGATCTTAGAACCTGACAAGACAAACTGCAAGAGATGGTGTGGAAAATGGCTGTATGATTTGGATGGTGATGATGATTTTGTTCTATCTTTCTCTCTAGCTTTCAGGCTATCTATCTATCTATCTATCTATACTACTGTACTGTATTTCTCACCATATTAAAGGCAACCACAGATATAGCATGAAAGGTTTATAGTCTCAAGAAAGTTCACCTAAACTAAACTTTCATAAAAGGAACAGATATTTAAATGAGAAAAATTGCAATGTGTCCCATAACCTGTACAGTGCAGTTGACCCCTCAATGTGAGGAACAAATATAAATAATAATAATAAATAAGAGGAAGGAAAAAATACTGCATGCCATTTGACAACTGTTTCACTAAAGATGTGGGAGACAGGGATGTGCTCCCCCCTCGTGGGCTGACTCCTGCCGACGTAATAAAAAATATGTCATATGGTGGGAAATATGGTATATCTCTCTACATCTTTCTGTCCATCTGTCTACAGTATACAGTATCTGTCTTATATGTACTGTAGACAGAACTACTATACTAACCATGATAGACAGTTGACAATGCATGTGATTAATACCTGGAATACAAATATTTGCAGGAAAATGTCCAATATATTCAGCAACTAGACCACTTTAGAACCAAGAAAATATTGTTTATTGTTTTTATACTAAAACACTGGTAATTGTCTCTCAGATACTAGGAGTTGTATATCTTTAGTGGTGCATTACTATGTCCTGGGTTCATTCCCCAGCCTGGGACAGATGTTACCCTCACTACCAAACATGGCAGGTTTTCTCCAGGTACAATACTACAGTTTCCTCTCATACTGTACAGTATTAACAGACCAGCTGCCCAAACGGCTCATTACTGGTAATTACGATGTCGCTACGTTAAATTATACAAAGGTGAATCCTTATTTAATGTTGACTTGGCCATAGTGAGCTTCTATGCCACTGATGAATGAGTCTTGATCACACACAACTATAAGGCAGCCTTCTCTTGCCACTCCATCTTCCCTCTGGCCTTTATCGTGGAAAAGCCAAGAATTATTATTGTGTGAAGATGTAGTGGATCTCACAACACAGACGTCCTCAACGGCACTTGGTGGTTTATAACAAAGCCATTTTTTATTACTTACTTTTGACCTTGATGATGTGGTTCAGCCATTATCAGATGCAGGTCAGGAACACTAAGGACTGTTCCTCTATAATGCTCACTGAGTAAATGAGGATAGTTGCTTCAATGCTCCACGGGGCAGGTTGTTACCAGGTTTTATTTATAATTCACAATTATTACATGGAATTACGGTATACATTTTCCACAATATATACTGAACTGTATACCTGTGTTGTCTATATACATGGTAAACTGTATACCTGTGTTGTCTATATTGTTTTAGCTGTGGTAAGATACCAAACTATCTCACTTGTTAACACTTGCCTGAACGAGTGTAGGTTAGTCGCTGGTACCTTTGATGCAGCCGAGTGAGACATAGGTCATCTCACGTCATGTCACCTTTGATACAGCTGGAGTGAGATATAGGTCATCTCAATGTCATGTCACCTTTGATACAGCTGAGTGAGATATAGGTCATCTCACGTCATGTCACCTTGATGCAGCTGAGGAGATATAGGGTCATCTCACGTCATGTCGCCCTTTTGATGCAGCTGAGTGGAGATATAGGGTCATCTCACGTCATGTCACCTTTGATACAGCTGGAGTGAGATATAGGGTCATCTCACGTCATGTCACCTTTTGATGCAGCTGAGTGAGATATAGGGTCATCTCACGTCATGTCACCTTGATGCAGCTGAGTGAGATATAGGTCATCTCACGTCATGTTACCTTGATACAGCTGAGGAGATATAGGTCATCTCACCTTTGATACAGCTGAGTGAGATATCGGGTCATCTCACGTCATGTCACCTTTGATACAGTCGTTGATAGTTTAAATCGTCACAGCTGTCCTGGGTTGTACTTGTAATTATCTTAGCTTGTAAAGTAAACAAGACACACAGGTAATTTTCTCTTCACTCGTTGTTCCTGGGTTTAATGTAAAAACACGTGTTGATTTAATAGTTATATTGGGTAGTAATGTCTGTACAATTATTTGGTATTGACAGACTAATGAGCATTAGCTATTGGCTTGTAATTAGCTGATATATTTAGAGAGAGGTACAGCCCGGAGAGCTGGTGACACGACACGACTTTAGGGCATCATGTCGGGCTGTGAACTGGGCTGAACTCTCTTGAGTCTGGTGACTGGTGGTTGAAGAGTAACCACACTTCAACAGGTCATTAACTAAACAGCCTACCACACACTGAGGGTTGAGTCTGTAGTTTAATGGGCTTTACACCCTAGGAGGTGTGACAACAAATGTTTATGGGCTGTACACCCTAGGAGGTGTGACAGAACAAATGTTTATGGGCTGTACACCCTAGGAGGTGTGACAGAACAAATGTTTATGGGCTGTACACCCTAGGAGGTGTGACAGAACAAATGTTTATGGGCTGTAAACCCTAGGAGGTGTGACAGAACAACAAGCTTTGCGGGTTGCACACCCCTAGGAGGAGGACAGATCAAATGTTTATGGGCTGTACACCCTAGGAGGTGTGACAGAACAACAGCTGAGGGCTGTACACCCTAGGAGGTGTGACAGAACAAATGTTTATAGGCTGTACAATTCTAGGGAGGTGTGACACAAGAGGGCTGTACACCCTAGAAGGTGTGACAGAACACATGTTTATGGGCTGTTCACCCTAGGAGGTGTGACAGAACACATGTTTATGTGTTGTACACCCTAGAAGGTGTGACAGAACACATGTTTATGGGCTGTTCACCCTAGGAGGTGTGACAGAACACATGTTTATGTGTTGTACACCCTAGAAGGTGTGACAGAACACATGTTTATGGGCTGTTCACCCTAGGAGGTGTGACAGAACACATGTTTATGTGTTGTACACCCTAGAAGGTGTGACAGAACACATGTTTATGGGCTGTTCACCCTAGGAGGTGTGACAGAACACATGTTTATGTGTTGTACACCCTAGAAGGTGTGACAGAACACATGTTTATGGGCTGTTCACCCTAGGAGGTGTGACAGAACAAATCCTTATGTAGCTGTATGCTCAATAGTCTGGGTGATATAATGTATATAATGAATATATGTCCTTAGCTCATATTTATATAATATTAATGTGACAGAGGCTAATACAATATACTGAACTGTATACCTATACAGTATTGTCTATATACATGGTGAACTGTATACCTGTATTGGCTATATACATGCTAAACTGTATACCTACATTGTCTATATGCAGGTTGAACCAATTGTAAACTTATATGATAAGTTTACATAATAAATATATATCTATCTATCTAAAGTGGTCTAGTGTATGTAAATATTTTGATCTTTTCCCTGATAATGTTGTTTCATCACAGGTGTTACTCTGTTGTAGTGTGAGCCAGTGTGAGGTGGAGGTCAATATTAAACTGAGGTGTTTAGCTGTGGCTCTGGAAGATTGACAATTTGTCTTATTTTAATTATAAACCATGAACACCTTTATTTCTCACTGTTTATCCAGGTATAATTTGGCTAAATTTATCTTAAATTTACCTGGACTTAGAATGCCATCACAATATGATTTGAAATTAAAGAGCAAAATCATATCCTTTTGTGTTTTTAAGGATTTTAGAATTAATAAGATTTAGTGAGACTGTTGAACCATTCAGGTACTTTACATATATTTACCATTTAGGTTAAACTAAACCGTAAATACATTTTATTGTTCATTAAGGAATTCTATCTCATAAGTTCGGTGTCATTTAATGTTGCCGTAAAATCTGTTGAGTGACTTAAGCGGCAGTTATTCTGTTATAGTCATGGCAGTTAATGTTGTTTTAGGAGGTACAGTTTATAATGTTGTGATCTCCGTTAAAACAAACTATTTTTATTGTCCAAATTTGTCGCGCTGGGTAAGGAAGTTGTGCGTGGTGGGAAGGGCTTTGGAATAAGGAATACTGAAGGTGAAAGAACACTTGAGTTTGGGGATGGAATGTAACATGTGTTTAAGAATAGGGCAAGTAGGCTGACCATGTAGGCCTAAGGCAGGTGGCACAGAAACCCAGATTGGCTACAATTTGGTCAGGAAATTAGAACAGGTTGCTTGTGTGTGTGTGTTAGTTAAAGATGGAGGGAGAGGAAGAAGGTGGATGTTCCAAGAAGGAGAGTGTTGGAATTGTGAAGGAACTGAATGTAAAGGAAGCATTTTCTTGTGAGTTGACAGGCCATAATAAAAGATGTTCCGTTGAGTGTGGTTGATGGCGGGAATGATGAAGTGGAAAGAGAAATAAAAAGAGAAAAGAAGATTATATGAGATGTGGAAGATGGTTGGCAACAGAGAGAAGTACAGTACCTGGAGGCTAAACTGAGATGGTTCAGGAGAGAAAGGAGGAAACTAACTGGGTCAAGAGATACACGAATGAATGTGGAGGGGAGGGGAGTTAGAGGTAGGCAAAGAATGACATGAGGATAGGTTGTAAAGAAATGTCGGTGCTACTATAGTACCTGAGTATGTTTGTTGGTTGGAATGATGAGGAACAATCTGAACAGAAAACAAATGAATACAGTAATTGAACACAAAAAATTTAGGAATTGTCTAGTAATATCAAAATATTCGGAACTCAGTTAATTCGTATTTTCAGTCATTCGAGTGACGCAGAGTCTCTTTTGTCAAATCAATGAGGGTATAGTGCCGTTTGTGGTGCACCGAATTACTGAAAATAAAAATTAACCAAGTTCCGAATATTTTGACATTATTCGACACTTTCTCAATCTTTTTGTTCAATTATTCGTTCGTTTTCTGTTCAGATTGTTCCTCATTATTCCAACCAACAAACATACTCAGTTACCATGCCTTGACTGCCACACAAAATAATCTTATTTATAATTACTGTGCAAACAAATATTTTTTAAGTGCACAAACAGTAATAATAAAGTAAATAATACAGTAATAAATAAATGTAAGACTTACTGTACATTGTGAGGTGAACTGATAATATGTGGATGATATTCAGAAAGTGTAATAGTATTGAGGATCAGGTCTGGGGTCCACTGCTCTCATCAAGAAGATTAATCCCCAACCTACCTAACTCAGGAGACTGTTCCTTTGTTCTATGTGTTTCTCCCTTGTTTTGTTGTGTTAGTTGGCAGAAGAGGGACCTATTGTGTGTTTTATCCCAGCTGAGAAGAGATACGTAATTTGTGTATTATTGTGGGTAAAAATAAGTATATATTAAATGCGTCCTCCGAAAGCGTCAATTTGCCACCAGAGTTTAACAGTTAATTCTTGTATAATATTTCTGATAAACTTCCTACGTGTTTATGTTTGATATAATTAATGTATGAATCTTTATATAATTTAGCTAAATGTCTTTCTCGTCAGAAATGGTCATTATGAATAAACTCATTTAGAAATACATCATTACTTCAGGAGGAAATCGGACAGATTTGCAACAGCCAATCTGGTGTAACTCTTGAGGAGGGGGCGGGGCATCTCTTCTCATCTGATAAAAAATGCACTATAGTCAGATCAGCTCCAAAATTTCATCTTATATTTCTCCAATGAGGGATTTTACTTCATTTACCCGTGTGGCCGTTACACTTATGGAATATCATCTACGATCTCACCTCTCATTATTTATTAATGTATTATTTACTTTATTATTGTAAGTACATTTTATAACTATTTATATTTGCACAATAATTATAAATATGATATTGTATATGACAGCCAAGGCAACTTTTTGAACCACTCAGTTATTTCATATTCATTCCAAATTCAAATCGTTCAATTAATTTTTTGAGAAACATACGAATTAAACCGAAGTACGAATTACAGCGATCCTATTCAATGAAAGTCCAAAAATTCATTGTTTGCAAATATTCAAAGTCCAAAAATTCATCTTTAAAAATATTCTAAGTCCTAAAATTCATCTTTAAAAATATTCTAAGTCCTAAAATTCGTTTAAAATATTCTAAGTCCAAAAATTCATCTTTAAAAATCTGCCGAGTCTAAAAATTCATCGTTTAAAATATTCTAAGTCCAAAATTTATTTTAAGTCCAAAAATTCATTGTTTAAAAATATTCTAAGTCCAAAAATGGCCAAAATTATTCCTGGGCATATTTTGAGTAATAAATTTTTGTGTGGTTTTAGAGGTAAAACATTTGTGCCATTCTTACGAGCTCCAGCTTGTCATCTGTGTATTATAAGGCATAACGGACTACCTGGACGTGGGGAGAGTAACTCACTGGGCCCCTACTGAGTTACTCTTCCCACGGCCAGGTAATCCATTATGCTTGTATTTTTTTATATTATTGGTGAATGATAATTTGAAGGCCTTCCTCCGGAGACGCTTCCGATTATCTTTTACCAAATTTTTTCAACGTTAGTCCTGGCAATGGCAAACTCAAAAAACACTTAAGGGTAAAAAAAGGGCAATTTTTTTTGCTCAAATTTTGCAATTTTTAGCCATTTTTTTCATTAAAAAAATGCTAATTTTTTCATATTTTTAGCTATTTTTTTTTCAGGTTTTTAGGTTATTTTAGTTATTTTTTTTATTTTATATATTTTTATTTATATATTTTATTTATATATATTTTTTATTAATATATATTTTATTTTATATTTTTTTATTTAATTATATTTTATTTATTTATATATTTTTTATTTATATATTTTATTTATATATATTTTTTTATATTTTATATTTTTTTATTTATATATACAGTATATATATATTATTTATATATTGTTTATTTTTCATTTGTATATTATATTTGTATATAATGAATTAAGATATTTTTTTCAAGTATTTTATTAAATTATTTTGCTTCAAAATCTGAAGCTGAACTTAGTCAATTTTCTGTAAAAGTTGAAAATATTGTAAATGCTGGAAAAGGTTAATAAAGACGTAATGACATTTAGACATTTATTAATGGAAACTTAATGGCTCTAAATTTGCAGGCCAGGGCAGCAAGCACAGAGCAGAGCCGTCCAGGGCAGCAGCATGCACAGAGCAGAGCCGTCCAGGGGAGCAGTAGTCCAGGGCGGCAGCAGCAGCACACAGAGCAGAGCCATCTAGGACAGCAGCACACACAGAGCAGAGCCGTCCAGGGCAGCAGCCAGCCAGCAAGCAAGTACAGAGCAGAGCCGTCCAGGGCAGCAGCCAGCCAGCAAGCAAGCAAGCACAGGGAAGTCCAAGGCAGTAGCCAGTAAGCACAGTTTAGGGCAGCACGGCACTCCAGTGTTCAGAACAACATTTCTGTACAAAATAAAATGTAAAATTAATATTCAAATTTTTTAACCATAAAAATGTTTTAAATATAGTAATGACAAAATGAACTGTAGTGTTTTAGACAAAATTCCTTAACACTTGACAGAACCAAATTTATAAACTCAATAGAAAATAATATTTCCTGTATCTTTGGTTCATAGTTTTGTTAATATATTTTAAATGTTTTCTCTCAATGACTTTGACCCAGAAATTATTGATTTGTGATGAATATTTTTACTTTCCACTAACTTTACGTCAATGAATTCCTCGAGTGGGTCAGTCACAGGCCTGGTACAGTATTACAAGTGAATGTTGCTAAGAGTACTTTATTATTTACTAAACATACTCATCTTGTAGGTAACTTTATGTACTTTACTGAATTAATTAAAGTCAAGCATAAACAGGACCAATAATTATTTCTGGTGTTATAAATTTGATGTATTAAACGATTGGTTGAGAAGTTATAAGTAGTTACGGCAAGAATCCAGTTTTGGGGCTTTT